TTCTAAGGTTTCTTCCAGTTCTAACGACATTCTTGATTACAATCCACGTTGAAGGATTAATAACCTAATGATCACCTTTTGTTGGGTATACTAGTATTGTAGTTTTCTTTTGTCATTTTTTTTTTTAAACAATGCTTTCTTCCAAAGAAGTGGATAATCTTTCTAAAACGCAGGCCAGTAAGAAAGATTTCAGGGGACATAGATGCATCTTAGAGTTCCCAACATCACACTGCATAAAATAACTGCTTCCTCTGGTTTCTCTATGTGTTCCTTTGTCTCAGCTCTTCAGAAAAGAAAGAAGAGTATTGTTATGTATAAAATTTTTCTTCTTGGTGCCGCAAAGAAAAATTAGTACTGGGACAAAGGATCTCTCAGCAAAACAGTTCTTTTTACTTCCAGCAGAAAGGGTACTCCCGTTAGCAGTCCTGCTATGAGAGTACTATGAACGAAGGAAAGCAGACATATTTATTTCTTACGCATTCGGGGTTGTCCTTACTGCTGTGTCTGATTTCCACTGGCTGGAGACAGACCTCACAATCTAAACTAAAACCCGACCGGCTAATAACTTGAAACTTTTCTAAACAGATAAAGGCAATGGAGAGCAAAAGAAGGAAGTCCAAATAAGGAAGGGGCCTAGGCTGCGAGCTGGGGCAGCCTGTGAGCACGTCCACCACAGACATCGAGGTTGAAGTACAAGGACATAGAATGTACTATGCACCCGTAAGCATGTCTAACAGCTACATAGGATAGGGCTTCTAGCAAAAAGCAAGAGGACTTTTGAAGAAACTGTTTAAAGCAAACTATTATTTCTAACACTTATGAATTTTTCTTAAACAAGAAAGGAAATTTTGGAGAGGAATTTTTTTACTTCCCGCAAGTGTCAAGGATGAGAAGGGAACTGCAGAGGAAGGCACAACATTTCTCAATCATCCCATAGACATCGAAACTGAGTATAGAATGTGTTTGACTCTCAGCTGGCCAGTCACATGCTAGAGTCCCACTGTAAACCATGCTGGCTAAATTATAAATTCCAGGTGGACTTTTCCCTACCCTTTATTAGTATTCTGGATAAGCTACAAGTTTATTGCCGTTACTCCTAGGGCCACTGCAGTTTGTGTGGAGGGGCAGGTGGAGTGAGGACTGTATCAGTTAGTGTGTGCTGTGTAACAAACAATCACAAAACCCCAGTAGCACAACAGAAAGTGTTTCTTGCTCACATGTCCAAGATCTGCTGGGGGCTAGCTGGGTCACTGTGCTTTTCCTGGCTAGGCTGCCTCAGTTATCTGGGGATTAGCTGACTGTTGGCTGATAAAGGCTAGGCATATCACGAGACAACCTCATGAAGAGGTTCTAATGCTCCAAAATTAAAAAAAAAAAAAAGTCGAGTAAATATCCTCATTTAATCAAACTGTCTTTGAGAACATGAAGAAGTCAGGGCGTATTTGGAAAAATCCTTTACAGTTTTGACTCCTGCTAAGACAGAAGTAGAAAACAATTTTGTAGCTCCCTTCACTTGCTAAAAAAGGTTTTTTTAAGGAAGAAAAAACAAGTACTTGAGAATATTAAAACATGGACTGTTCTACTCTCTATCTCTCTCTCATGCATGCTTATGGTTGTCTGCAGAACAAGAAAATATTATTATTAGTGAAAACAATAGCTTGTAAATTAGCAAAGCTGGCAGTATCAACATCATGGAAATATCTGCTGATGAGAGTAAGCAAAACTTTCATTTTGTACTTTAATTACAGATACTGTTCTTTAAAATTGCTTGTTAACAACTGTTGCCCTAATGGAGATTCAGATCTGAAAGTAGCTTTTCTGCACTAAAATTCTTCAAGGGGCCTGTATGTATTAACGAGGCAGATGCAAGCCATTTGGGCCAAACAAACCCATTCAAAGTTAGAAAAGCTCTAGGCTATTTCAAGTCAGAAAGAACATGTAATAGGAAAAAAAATGAGAAGGAAAGTACCTGAACCTAGTTAAATTTTTGAGCTCACCACTTACTGGCTATGTGCTATTTGTTATAAATAGAATTTTCAATACCACAAAAGAAGTAGCACTCAAACATAAATTTCCTCAGCAAGGCAATTTACTTCTACAGAAGTAAAACATGGCTCACAGATAAAACATGGTGAGCGCACACCTGGACAAGGAGGGGAAAGGGTACTTACACCCTGACAGAGGTCGTCCCTACTGCTGTGTCATTCCCCTATTGACTAGGGTTAGACCACACAATCTAGTCTAATTCTGATTGGCTATTTTAAAGGGAGCAGGGGTAGGAGCCGGAGTGGCGGGCTGGGTAGTTTTGTGGGAAGGATGGTTATGGCAGGTCACAGCAGGTGACCAGAGCAGGTGACCAGGATGAGTCAGGATGGGGTGGGGGACCAGGGGAACAGATGGGAACTACTGATTAGAACTGGTGGAAAATGTTGTTTACTGGAACTACAAGGACGTTAAACTTTAGTGAATTAAAGAATAAGAGAGCTGAACATACCGACACACTGATTCTTGGAAGAGAAACTTGGAGTTCACTGTATCTAACATATTGAAACCGCCACTACAAAATTGTAACTGCCCTAAAGAAGGTTCAGAGATGAAAGTTGCTTTTATGCACTAACATGCTTCATGGGGCTTGTATACATTAATACAGGTTTTATAGCAAAAGTTCCCACCCAAGTTCCTAGTCAGGTCTGTTTAGGCAAACGGAAGATTCAAGTTTGCTTCTGATTGATTGATACAGCTGAGGCTTCATGGGTCAATACAAATGATCCTTGATCAGCTGGTTCAGGTGAGCTCTGCAAATTCCAAAGTGGAACAGAATTGTGGGTTTACTGGGAGCTCAGAGTACCCCATGTGACCTCTAGTTAGCAACTGGCCCTTGACTTTATTTTAAATTCAGGCCCAGTTAACCACTTGGGATCCATCTTGAAGGATTAGCTTTTTCAGGTTCGCATTTATTAATGACAACTTTGTATTTTTTAGTTAGCTTCTTAATCAGTTATGACCAGCTTGGCTGAGGGGCAGTGGCTCACGCCTGTAATCCCAACACTTTGGGAGGCTGAGGCAAGTGGATTACCCAAGGTCAGGAGCTCAAGACCAGCCTGGCCAACATGGTAAAACCCTATCTCTACAGATAATACAAAAATTAACTGAGTGTGGTGGTGCATGCCTGTAATCCCAGCTATTTGGGATGCTGAGGCAGGAGAATTGCTTGAACCCGGGAGGTGGAGGTGGCAGTGAGCCAAGAAGATTACGCCATTGCATTCTAGCCTGGATGACAAGAGCAAAACTCCATTCCCCACTTCCCCAAACAGACAAAAAATAAAAAATAAAATATGACCAGCTTGAATTCTCCCCATTGTGCCTTTAGAAGTTCATGGCCCTGGTCTGCAAGTCTCCCAGGTTGTTCCTAAGAACTTCATCTGTGGAGAAGCAATAGAATAGAGAAGCCTTGGGGGAAAGTCAGAAGACCTTAGAGAACCAGGAGGGCAACATGGGCTCCTCATTGTCAACCAAAAAGTAAAACAAAATAAATACGAATAAAAATTTCTTCAGTTAGAATAAGAAAGAAAGACCTTTGGGTCCCAGAGCAGTGGAATTGGACCTAGCTTCATAACAGAAATCCAGGGAAACAGCAAGCTGTTGGAGGGGAGACTGCCGTGTGTCACATTAGGGGTCCCTGTGACCCACGCATAGCAAAGAAGAATCTGAGAACGAATACTCTCAAACAGCTCTTCCTCATCTGTCAAAATATAATGCTCATTTTCTTCTAAACATGGAAGCAAAATTGTACTCCCTCAGTTATTGAGCGCAGATGGTAGCACAATTGAGTGAGGGAATGTTGTACACAGGTGGGAGGAGGGGAGGGAAGGACAGTTTGTGTGGAACCCTTTCTTGGTGCACGCTTTGTCTTTTATTATAAATCTGTGCCATTCTGACTCAGCATTGATTACTACATACACAGTGATAATAATCCACAGGCAAGTGTTAATATTGCTAATGATACTGCGTTGCAGAGTGATTTCCTGAGAGCCATTCTCAGCTGCTGCATCAGGATTACAGCATTTGTGCAACTCCAAACTAAGGCAGGGGTAAAACAGCCAGCGCTCTTCAGTCAAAAAGAGCTGGCAAAGAGAGCAGCCTGCAATTAGATCAAATATGCCTGTCACCAGGGGGCTGGCAGGCCTGGTTCACATGCTCAAGAGTTGGGGATGACCTTTAACAGATGTAGATTCTCAATATAAAAACCCTAGCGTCCAATGCGGATAAATGAACAAAGTTTTGTAGCTGGCTGCGTCACGTTTTTATCTCCATTTGAATAAGCATTTTCTGGGCTTATTGTTGAGATACAACAAGTCGTTGTTGCAATCTCTTAAAGGACCAAACCAGCCAGCCCCATCTGTGATCTTAGGCTTGGATATCCCAAGGATCAGTTTATCCAAAATTATTCACTTGTGCCAATTCGTTAAACACTTTCTGAAAATTTACCCCTTGGCTGTTTTAGACAAGAAAACTTCATTTTCAGATGTTTTGCCTAATATTTTTACCTTAACTGTGTACACAAAAAGGTCTTCCAGACACAGAAGATCACTTGTAATAGTCAAAGATTCAAGTCACTGACTCAGGAGAGAAGTGCCTGCTAGCAGTAAGACCGGGCTATTTGATAGATTTAATGGAACGTCTCCCTCTCTACCTCCCATCCTGCCTTTATCAGGAAGACGAAGAAAAAACTTGGTTTTATGAAAGCCTGACCCTGTGATCCCCGGCATGCTCAGGTCCGCAGAAATCTTAAATGACTTTGTATTGGCCACAACTTTTATCTCCACCAGATTTATAAACCGCTGCAAGGCCATAATGCTAGTACTCAGCACATGCAAGTTTTAACCAGATACTTCCTTATATGGGTTCTCTGTTCCAGCCTTAACTTGCCTGGAGCCTTCCTCACTCTTGGTGTGATCCTCACTCTCCACTCTCTTTTCCACACATCAAAACATTCTCACCTTTAAGCACAGCTCAAAGCTCACTTCTTCCAGGAGTCAGTCCCTGATAATCAGATGGAAGTGGTCAGTTCTCCTCAGGAAATAAGGCAGCTGCTCTGTGAAGAAAAGAGCACTACATCAAGAATCAGAAGGGCTGAACCCAAATCCTGGCTTTGCTAAGAACTCACCGGGGGACTGTGTTAGTTTCCTAGAACTTCCCTAAGAAAGTATCACAAACTAGGTGGCTCTCAACACAGAAATTTATCATTTTACAGTTCTGGAAGCTGAAAATCTGAGAGTAAGGTGTTAGCAGGGCTGTTTCCTTCTGAGAGCTGTGAGGGAGAAGCTGTTTCATGTCTCTCTCCCAGGTTGTGGTGGTTTGCTGGCAATCTTTGGTGTTCCTTGGCTAGTGAAAGTGCTGCCCTGGTCTCTGCCTTTGTCTTCACATGGCAGTCCTCCTGTTTGCATGTCTGGCTCTGGATCCAAATTTCCTCTTTTTATAAGGACACCATTCGTATTGGATTAGGGCTCATCCTATGCCAGTATGACTTCATCTTACCTAATTACATCGGCAATGATCCTATTTACAAATAGGGCATATTCTGAGGTACTGAGGGTTAGGACTTCAAGATATGAATTTGGAGAGTATGCAATTCAACCCGTAACAGGGCTCATAGGAAAAAAAATCTCTCTTGGTTTCCTGACCTTTAAAATAGAGGTAAAGTAGAAATAACTACTCACCAGATCCTTGGCAGGATTAGTGTAGGTGGTTACCTAGCTCTGTGGCTCAGTGGATGCATATGTTAAATTCCATATCTTATTTTTATTTTCTGCTGTCTTATTATGCTTTTTACACCTCTATATGAGTGGAAGCAGAGAGGAGAGAAGACCCGAACATAATTGATGACTCCTCCCTGGGGGGAAGTGGGGACACCATAATGGCTTCCTTCAAGCTAGGCCAGGAGAAATACAGTCTATTGGAGGGATTGCAGTGCCAGATGACCCATCACAACTCGTGAGTTAACGTTTGAAAGGTGTAGTGGCCTTTCCCTCAGTTGTTCAGCTGCTGCCTGGGACACAGGATTTACTTCAGTGGAGTCAATCATGAGATGTGGCAGGAAGTGAAGGTCCTCTCCAAGTGCGTGTTCATTTTACTCCAAATCCCATTTTAAGATGCATGTTTATGTAAAATGCCTGCACATTTCCTCTGGACCATCTGCTGTAGGAGTAACAGGTCAAATTCAAGGGTGCTCTTTCCCCGCGGGCGTGGGTGGGCGTGGAGTCAGACCAACTCAGATCTTGCTCCCCTCCACGACAGGGAGTCCAGAACTTGCCTCTGCTGTCCTCTGATCGTCTACCGATTGGCTTCCTTACTACTGCTGCACAACACTACACATAATTTTCAATTATATCACCCACCATTTCTTTTGAAACCACACAGAAGACCATCCACAAAATTAGCTCTACAGGGATTCCTACTGTTTCATTTAAACGTTTCCAGTAAGTTTCTGATCTGATAGAACAGTCATAACTACACACGTATGCAGTTTGGATACGTGGTATAGATGTTTGGTTTCTTTCTAGACAAACATGAAACTAGAAAAGTAGCATATTCAGAACCGGGCTCCCCAGCTGGCTGATGACAAGCATGGGCAGTGGAGGAGCCAGCAAGTGAGCTCCCAGGCCTTCAGCTCAGTCAGCCCCACAGCCTCCCCTAGAGTGCTTTTCCATACTTGTGTCTTAAACAATGGGCACAGAGTGATGAATTCAGAATGGACACACAGTAGGTGCTTTTAAGCATGAATCTACCTGCCTCTAGCTATCAACATAAGGCCACACAAGCGTAATTTTGTGGCAAATACAGAGCTTGGTCACAGAACTTTTGAGCAGGCAGGACTCAACAAGCAAAGCAGAGGGGAATTATGATTTATACTTGCAAAGCACCAAATAAAGTTCACTCAAACCTCATGAGAGACTCCTCCTTTTGGGCTTTAAAGGAGCAAGTGGAGGCCGGATATGTTGAGACTTTCCTCAGGCGCCTCAGGAAGAAAGCAGCGGAGCCGGGACTCTCACAGGACTTGTGACTCAAAAGCCTTTCTCTCGTGAGCCACCAGCCATGTGTGGTGGGCAGAAGTGGCTCTTACTCTCTTCCATAGCTAACCACAGGAAACTCCCCAGGGCTGAGGGGAAGAATGCGCTGAGGGTCAGAAGGTGAGAGCTACCCTCACATAGTCCCATTCTGCAGGAAAGGGCAGAGCAGAGGCCAGCACTTCAATAAGAAGTGCTGAGAAGTGACTAGCACATCTTTCTCAAGCAAGACTCAGTGAAGGGATAGCAAACCCTAGGAAGGAAACTGGACTGCTCCATTAGCATGGAGACAGCCAAAGGACATCCAGGGTACTCTGCAATGTTTTGCTCACAGAGATGGGGATGCTGAAGGTGCTTGCTTTAAACTGAAAAAAGGGAGTGTTCTCTGCACTTCCCTTACTCTTTCCCATTCCCAAACTCACAGACTGTGATAAGCTATAGTCCCACTATTAGACTGTAATCCCCTGCATGGCAAGATCTTTATATTTCATATTTCCAGAAACTCAAATTGAATCCAACATTGAATAGACTCTCAGCAAAGGACTGTTAATGATGATGTTAGATTTCTCTAGACAGATAAAGGATTTCCGACCCTGGCACTTTTAGCATTTTAGAGCAGATAATTTTTTGATTTGGGGAGTTGTCCCAAGCAAGATGTTTAGTAGCATCCCTGGCCTTGACCACGAGATGCCTGCCGCCAGTTGTGACAACCAGAAATGCTTCCCAACATTGCTAAATATCCACCGGTGGCAAAAACACCTTTGGTTGAGAATCACTGCTTTACATGAAGAAGTGAACTAACGTATCTGAGCCTGTCCTGTGTGTGGACGCTTTACTGATGTGAGCTCAGTGTGATCTTCACAATTACCCCGTGAGGTAGGTATTACCATGTACAGGTGAAGAGACCGAGACAGAGAGATTAAGTAACTGGTTCAAGAACACTCAGCTTAGAAGTAGCAGAGCTGGGTTCTGAAGGCCTGTGTGATTCCTGTGCGGACAGGAGGCGGAAATAGCAATTGAAACAAGATCTGTACAGTCATTGGTGGGTGTTCTATTACTGTTGTTCACGTAATCATTCTCATGTTTTTTTTTTTCAGTTTACTAAAAGGTTGAAGTCTGAATGGATATTTTAAGCACGGATTTCAATTTTTTTCTCCATAGAACTATTAAATGCAGTATTCATAATTTCACCGTCACTTCAGAAATGTATTAAAAGTCAGATTTGGGCCGGGCGCGGTGGCTCAAGCCTGTAATCCCAGCACTTTGGGAGGCTGAGGCGGGTGGATCACGAGGTCAAGAAATCGAGACCATCCTGGTCAACAAGGTGAAACCCCGTCTCTACTAAAAATACAAAAAATTGGCTGGGCATGGTGGCGTGTGCCTGTAATCCCAGCTACTCAGGAGGATGAGGCAGGAGAATTGCCTGAACCCAGGAGGCGGAGGTTGGGTGAGCCGAGATCGCGCCATTGCACTCCAGCCTGGGTAACAAGAGCGAAACTCCGTCTCAAAAAAAAATAAATAAAAAGTCAGATTTATTTTCACATGAACGACTACTGGGCTCCCCCTGGTGTTAGCTTAGATTATATTTGACTTTAAAGGAGCTCATGTGTGACTGAATTTTAAATTAATGAGAGCTTTCTCTAAGAGCAAGTTTTAAAAATTCAGCTGGCTCTCATTGACATTATAAAATTGCTTTATTCAGACTTTGCAAATATTCTATGTAAAAGCCTAATATAACTCAAGTTTTATAATGTCACAAGACAACTACTTCGAATTTGTTGTTTAAATTATTTTTTATGGACCCAGAGACATTTCTGAAGATGGAATTACCTGGCAAAAACAAACATATATACAGCATGAGCTGCATAACAATGTTTTGCTCAATGCCAGACCATATATTTACTGTACCTTTTCTATGTTTAGATATTCAAATACTTACTGTTACGTTACAGTCGCCCACAGTGTTCACCACAGTAACATGCTGTACAGAAACCCAGGAGCAATAGGCTACACCCTATAGCCTAGGTATGTAGCAGCCTCTACCATCTAAGTTTGTATGAGTACATTCTGATGTTCACACAATGAAATCACCTAACAATAAATATTTTAGAATGTGTATCCCTGTTGATAAGCGATGTATGGTAGATATGTACACACACACACACACACACACACACACACATAAATGGAAATATTCAGTCTCACTTTGATGAAAAGAAGTGCAAACTAAAATAAATGTAGTTACCCTGTACTCTACCAAACACATTTTTCTTAAAATAACACCATATTCTGTGAGGGCAAAATAAAATAGAAATACTCTCAGGCATTGCCAACGGCCTCTGGTGCAATAATCTGGAATAGTAACAACATGCAGAAAAAGCCATAAAATCTATGTATTCTTTGACCCAGTCATCCCATATCTAGGAATGGTTTAAACAAGTACTTCAGAAGGAGAGAAAGCTATTTTTGCGTAGATGTTCATTACAGCATTGATTGTAATAATAAAATATTGGAAGCAGCCTAAGTAGATAACAATGATCAACCCGCCCTGGCCTGGTGGCTCATGCCTGTAATCCCAGCACTTTGGGAGGCTGAGGCAAGCGGATCACTAGAGGTCAGAATTCGAGATCAACCTGGCCAACATGGTGAAACCCTGTCTCTACTAAAAATATAAAAATTAGCCAGCATGTTGGCACGTACCTGTAATTCCAGCTATTAGGGAGGCTGAGGGAGGAGAACTGGAGAATTCTTTGAACCCAGGAGGCAGAGGTTGCAGTGAGAAGGAGGTTGTGCCACTGCACTCTAGCCTGGGTGACAGAATGAGACTCGTTGCAAAATAAATAAAGTATCCCCCACAAAATAGCCCCAACAACAAAAGATATATTTAACTAAATTATGGTACAATCACTCTAGTATAGTAGCAGTTAAGGTGGGTTTTAGAGTCAGACTGTCTGAGTTGAAAGGCTGGCTCCAGTGCTAGCTCTGTTGCTCCAACGTTTAATCTCTTCATCAGTGAAACGGGTATAAC